CCATTTTCCACAAATGTGACTTCTGAAGCTTTGCTCTGGACTTAATGGGTTCATTGTGTTTTGCAATGATAATTTTTCTGAAAGAACTACTTTCCAACTGGATTACTAAATTCTGTAGAAAATGAGGTTCCGCAGACAGAGGTGGTTTCATGGGGCTCTTTTCAGGTGCCCATCCAGCCTGATGTTTGTGTTTTTCAGACTTGAAGAGGGTGCTTTGTTCAGAACCCACTCCACCTCCCAGGTGCTCAGAGAACAGAGGCCCATTCTGCCACAGACACTGGGGTGGAGATGCTTGATGAAAATAAGGGAACGTGGCGGGGCGCAGTGGCTCATACCTGTAATCCTAACACTTTGGGAGGCTGAGGTGGGAGGATCGCTTGAGCCCAGGAGTTTAAGTCCAGCCCGAGCAACATAGTGAGACCCTGTCTCTATAAAAAGAAAATAAAAATAAAATAAATAAGGGAATAAAAGTGAGGGGGTGGGGGCAGCTAGGCAGAGTGCAGCCCAGATGGAGTTAGGGAACCTCATGAGGAGCAAAGACTGGGCCGTGCAGAAATGGCCAGGCCCTTAAAGCCCCAACTAGAGCTCAGCCATCGGCCATCAGCAGCCTGGGATCCTGCCCAGGGGCCGTGGGCCCACTTCATTACCCAGAGCTGAGGGCTCTTTCTTTTGGAAGGAGGTCCCAGGGGGACACCCCTGCAGGGCCTCCCACCTCTCCCAGAGCACCTCTGCAGTTGGTGGTTTCACTTTACTCTTCCAGGAGACACTTCCCTTGATGCTGCTGTTGGTATTTTCCCTTAATTTCAGCCTCAGGCACCACGATTTCCCCAATCTTGGTCTCAGACACCTCCAGATATGAGACACAGCTGGAGAGATGCTAACATAAATCAAACCAATTAGAACCTGCACGGGTCTCCAGCTGGTGGTGGCCCTATTAATTAGTGGAGAGCCTCAGACATCTGAGCAATCACAGGTGATGGAAGGGCTGAAGCTGGCAGGAGACAATGTGGAACTCAGAGCCCTTCCCCTGACTTAAAATGTCTAAGCTCGGGAAAGCTCAAATGTAGGAGAGTGAGAACTGTCTAGTGCACATAATAGTCTTTTCTCGAATCAACTTTTGGGGGCCCCCTGGGGTCCCCACACTACAGCCTCCCTGGCCCCATGAGGCCACTTGAAAGCTGGCTGACCTTTGGGAAAAGGTTCCAGTTTAGGATTCAAGAAACCTCACGTCGGCCGGGCGCGGTGGCTCAAGCCTGTAATCCCAGCACTTTGGGAGGCCGAGGCGGGCGGATCACAAGGTCAGGAGATCGAGACCACAGTGAAACCCCGTCTCCACTAAAAATACAAAAAATTAGCCGGGCGCGGTGGCGGGCGCCTGTAGTCCCAGCTACTCAGGAGGCTGAGGCAGGAGAATGGCGGGAACCCGGGAGGCGGAGCTTGCAGTGAGCCGAGATCGCGCCACTGCACTCCAGCCTGGGCAACAGCGTGAGACTCCGTCTCAAAAAAAAAAAAAAAAAAAAGAAACCTCACGTCCTGAGTGAAGAGGCTGGATGCAGAGCTCTAGAAAGCCCTTCCAGGGATTCCAAAGGTTGGAGTCAGGGCTGGGGTGAGGGCAGAAACCCCAGGGGCCCCAGATTTTTCTTGCAAGCATACAACCAAAGGCACATGTGTGTACCACGCCATGGGGCCAAACTCCTAACCCCGTGTCATGTAACAGAGTGTGGGGGTTCCTCCCCCCTGAGCATGGTCATTCCCCTTCTTCCTGCCTTCCTGGCAGACAAGGAGGTCAGGGGTCCCACCTCATTCTTGAAGGACTATCATCCCCATCCATGTCTGACAGCAGCAGAGGCCCCTGATACTGAAACTATGGAGGGGCCTCAGCAGCAGCCAAATCCTAGAAGGCAGAGTCGTTTATCCTTCAGAACTCTTCCTGTGGGCCTTTACCATCTTCACTATCTCCATCACCATCATCACCACTGCCACTAGAACCATCACCACCATCATAGCCATCATCATCATTGGCATCATCTGTCTCCGGAACATTAGCAAACTTTTTTTTTTTTTTTTTTTGAGATGGAGTCTCACTCTCTCACCCAGACTGGAGTTCAATGGCACGATCTTGGCTCACTGCAACCTCCGCCTCCCGGGTTCAAACGATTCTCCTGCCTCAGCCTCCCGAGTGGCTGGGATTACGGGTATGTGCCACCACGCCTGGCTAATTTTTGTATTTTTAGTAGAGACGGGATTTCACCATGTTGGCCAGGATGGTCTTGATTTCCAGACCTCGTGATCCGCCCACCTCGGCCTCCCAAAGTGCTGGGATTACAGGCGTGAGCCACCGCGCCCGGCCAACATTAGCAACCTTTACATGTGGTTTGGTCTATAGACTTAAAAAAAATTTGGGGGGCACATATCTATATTAAATTACATGTTTGACAACACACTCTTATTGTTCAAAACATGGCCCTTCTTTAAGTATATATTTTTATTTATTTTTATTTTATTTTATTTTTTATTTTATTATTATTATAATTATTATTTTTTGAGACGGAGCCTCGCTCTGTCACCCAGGCTGGAGTGCAGTGGCTCAATCTCAGCTCACTGCAAGCTCCGCCTCCCGGGTTCACGCCATTCTCCTGCCTCAGCCTCCTGAGTAGCTGGGACTACAGGCACCCGCCACCGTGCCTGGCTAATTTTTTGTATTTTTAGTAGAGATAGGGTTTCACCGTGTTAGCCAGGATGGTCTCGATCTCCTGACCTTGTGATCCGCCTGCCTTGGCCTCCCAAAGTGCTGGGATTACAGGCGTGAGCCACCATGCCAGGCCTGTTTTTATTTTTTGAGATAGGGTCTCACTCTGTTGCCAGGCTGGAGTGTAGTGGCACGATCTTGGCTCACTGAAGCCTGAACTCCCAGGCTCAAGCAATCCTCCCACCTCAGCCTTCCAAGTAACTGGGACGCCAGGCACACACCACCTCGCCTGGCTAATTTTTGTATTTTTTGTAGAGATAGTGTTTTGCCACATTGCCCAGGTTGGTCTCAAACTCCTGAGCTCAAGTGATCCCCTGCCTTGGCCTCCCAAAGTGCTGGGATTACAGGTATGTGCCACCTTGCCTGGCCTATTTTATTTTTTGATACAGGGTCTTGCTCTGTCACCCAGGCTGAAGTGCAGTGGCACAATCATAGCTCACTGCGGTCTTGACCTCCTGAACTCAACCAATCCTCCTGCCTCAGCCTCCTGAGTAGATGGGACTACAGGTATGTGCCACCACGCCCAGCTAACTTTTTTTATTGTTAGTAGAGATGAAATCTCAATTTGATGCTGAGGCTGGTTTCGAATTCCTGGGCTGAAGCAATCCCAAAGTGCTGGGGTTACAGGCATGAGCCACTGTGCCTGGCCCTGTATTTATAAATAATGTGAGGCCGGGCACGGTGGCTCACGCCTGTAATCCCAACAGTTTGGGAGGCCGAGGCAGACGGATCAGGAGGTCAGGAGATCGAGACCATTCTGGCTAACACGGTGAAACTCCGTCTCTACTAAAAATACAAAAAATTAGCCAGGCATGGTGGCAGGTGCCTGTAGTCCCAGCTACTCGGGAGGCTGAGGCAGAAGAATGGCGTGAACCTGGGAGGTGGAGCTTGCAGTGAGCCGAGTGCGCACCACTGCACTCCAGCCTGGGCAACAGAGCGAGACTCCATCTCAAAATAATAAATAAATAAATAAATAAATAAATAAATAAATAAATAAAGTGAAACAAACTCCCATGATGAGCCTGAAAACCGACCAGAACCCTCATCTCTCCCGTGCTCCTCTTCCCTTCTGTCCTCTGTTCCCACCACCTAGTGGGATTTCAAGCCAGCAAAGGTGGCTTAGCCCAGATTCTGAGAGGACAAAGATAAGGCCAATCAACAAAACGTGCTGAGGAATGACTTACACAGGAGCTTGATTGAAAGCCTTTATGACTTTTTAAAATTAAAAACAACATATAGAGCAACAGGAATTAAATGGTTAAATTGCATCAACGGCCAATGTTTGAAACCAGCTCTCCCTCCACTGTAGACCAGAGACCCTAGTGCTGCTGATGGGGTCTTGTGGCACCCCTGAGATTGTCCTGGCAAAGTCGAGAACATGTCCAGGTCACAACAGATTCTGGTGTGTTCTGCAGAGCGTGTGTTTTACAAGCAATGTCCCTCCCCATGGCCAAGGTGAAATAGGCACAAGTTCTGTGCCCTGCGCCCCACGTCACAAGCAGCACAATAGCCATTCAGGCCAACACGTCCAGAACTATATGACAATCAACTGATAAGAACTTGTTTCCAGGTTACAAATATTTGTAATGCTTCCCTCTGAGGCCACAGCAGGCCCTATGTCCCAGCCCCTAAAGTTGCTCCCCTTGTTTCCACGGGCAAAGGGCCTATCCTTTGCCAACTGCTCCCCTGGCTGTAATGGAAGAGCAATTGCTGGCCCTTCCCAGTCTCTGATGTCCTGGTATTTCCAGAACAATGGCAGCTACATGAGTCTTAGTCTCTCAGTTCTGGAGCGCTGGACTGAGGCTGGAAACAGGGCAGCTCCCCCATGGCCGAGGCTCCTATAACAGCCAGGCTTTCTTCAGGACCTCTGCTGTGTGTCTCAGGGGTGCTGGGATCCTGTTCTTGGCTGGAGGACTGTGGCTTACAGGCCGAGTCCCCCTTCTTTCTCTCCCTGTTGGTCCAGGGTGAATAAGAGACTATGGTGAACCCTCTTCTGCAGGGCTGAGGCTGCAGGAGCCAGCTCTGCTCTGTGTCCTGTTGAGGATGTTTCTAGAAAGCTCAGTGTCCACCAGTGCAGGTCCTGCTCTTGGGGAGCATCTTGGAGTCTTACCACCCACACTTCACCAGGCTCCAGCAGCAATTTCCAGTGCTGCCCTGGGGTCCTCAGGGCCCTGTCTGGGGTCATCTTCTGCAGGTAGGTGGCATCATAGCAGCCCACCATGGAGACAAGCTGCAGGGCCAGTAACCAGGCCTCATCCTCGGCAGGGTCCACTGCCCAGATAATGCCCAGCCCCAACACCATGGGCTCCCCTGGGGGCAGGTCCACTTTGAGAAACCCCTGCTATGAAGGAAAGAAGCTTGGCCAGTGTGAGCAGGTAAGAAGCCCCTCAAATCTCCAGGGCAGACCCTGGGTCCAGTCAGCATCCTCAAGTCCCAGGCCCAGGGGTACAGCCTCCTGAGGCCCTAGTTCAGTAGGCACAAAGTGGGGGTCCAGACCTGCATCTTCCGACCCTTCTGGGGCTGATGCCAGGGTCCCTAGCCCCCATGCCTCAGAGCCCTCCTGTGCAGGCTGTCCTGGGCTCTGCCCCCAGCTCAGCTCCATCCCTGAGGACCCCTCCTGCTCCGACTCTGCCTCAGTGTGCTCCATCAGCTCAGGGTCCCAGTTGTCTTCTTCCCAGTCCTCTGACTCCAGCAAGTCTTTAAGGTCTAGAAAGGCAGCCTTGAAGCAAGTGAAGCAAATGCTTAGCTGATCTCCATGTTGAAGCTGATACATCCAGGAGGCGTAGAGGTAGGACATGCCCTCTTCCTCATACCGCACGCTGACCGGAGGGCACATGGCCAGGCTGCCTGCCTCCTACCGGGGTGGACAGCAACAGTCTGGCCTTCAGAGGATCTCAGACAGTCTGGCCTCAGGTGCTGGGGCCAGTAGGATGCTGGGGGGCAGGGATGAAGGGGATGAGGAGCAGGAGGAGAAAGGGGTTTCCTATCCAGGGATTTGGGGTGGAGTGGATGACCTGGGTCCCAGCTCAGTGGGGACCTGCAGAGGGTGGAAGCTTGAACTTCTGGAAATGTCTTCAGCTTCTGCAGTTGCTGTGGTCTCAGGGAGCTGGAAAGGCAAAGGAAGGGAGGTTAGGCACCCCCAGCAGGCAGGGTGGAGCGAACTGTGGGGACCAGCAGGGGCAGGGATGTCAGGGTTCAGACTGGCCCTTTAGTGGGGACCCTACTCAGTTTGAACAGCACCGGGGCTGGGAAGCCTTCAGTTCCTCCATCCGACCTCCCTGGGCTCATCATCCACCCCCTACACCTCAGGGACCCCTACACCTCAGGGACCCCTATACCTCAGGGACCCCAACACCCTGTCAGCCTCGCCTGACAGAACCTGGGGGAACCTGAGGGAAACTGGCAGAGCCAGAGGGGACCTCATGGAAATTGAGGGAACCTGAAGGAAACTGAGGGAACCTGAGAGAAACTGAAGGAAACTGGGGGAACCTGAAGAAACCTGACACAAACTGGGGGAACCTGAGAGAAACTGGGGGAAACTGAGGGAAACTGGCAGAGCTTGAGGGGACTTGAGGGAACCTGGGGGAACCTGAGAGAACCTGAGGGAAACTGGGGGAACCTGAAGAAACCTGACACAAACTGGGGGAACCCGGGGGAACCTGAGAGAAACTGGGGGAAACTGAAGGAAACTGGAGGAACCTGAGGGAAACTGGGGGAACCTGAGGGAAACTGAGGGAAACTGGGGGAACCTGAAGAAACCTGACACAAACTGGGGGAACCTGAGAGAACCTGAGGGAAACTGGGGGAACCTGAAGAAACCTGACACAAACTGGGGGAACCCAGGGGAACCTGAGAGAAACTGAGGGAACCTGAGGGGAACTTGAGGGAAACTGGGGGAAACTGAGGGAAATTGAGGGAATCTGAGGGGAACTTGAAGGAAACTGAAGGAAACTGAGGGAAACTGAGGGAAACTGAGGGAACCTGAGGAATCCTGGCCCCGCTTCAGCCTCCCAATCCCTCACCCAGCACCAGGCCGTGTCTCCGAGACCCTCCTCGGGAGACCTCACCGTCCTGGTGTCTCTGCTCATGTGGGCACCCAGGGAAAGGAGGAGGCAGAGCCCATCTGGGTATATAAAGGGCCATTTCCCATGGTGCTCTGGGCTCATCTGCATATCTCCCATGAGCCTCAGTTTCCAGGAAATGAAAATGATGAGTCACTAGCTCCCCCTAAGGAGGGCCATGTGCAGCCCCTGGGCGCCTGCAGGAAGGCCCTGAGGAGGCAGCTCCTCTGGGGGCTGGAGGTCGGGGTGGGTGCTCTCTGTCCACAGACTGGCACGGGGTGAACATCCAACCTGTGGTTGCTGTCTCGTCGTGGGCACGATGTCCTGGTCCTGTCGTGTTTGTAAAACGTGATCCCTGCTTTGCTGTCTCTTTCTTAAAAGTTCTCTGAATTTTAGGAACGAGCCAATTGTCAATTAGTTATTGTTTAAACACATTTTCCCCTTTGTGGTTCATCTCTTTGCTCTTTAAACAGAGACACTTGTAAATTAACACTTGTTGTTTCAATAGATTTTATTTTATTTTATTTTTTATTTTATTTATTTATTTTTTTTTGAGACGGAGTCTCGTCGCCCGGGCTGGAGTGCAGTGGCCGGATCTCAGCTCACTGCAAGCTCCGCCTCCCGGGTTTACGCCATTCTCCTGCCTCAGCCTCCCGAATAGCTGGGACTACAGGCGCCCGCCACCTCGCCCGGCTAGTTTTTTTTTGTATTTTTTTAGTAGAGACGGGGTTTCACCGTGTTAGCCAGGATGGTCTCGATCTCCTGACCTCGTGATCCGCCCGCCTCGGCCTCCCAAAGTGCTGGGATTACAGGCTTGAGCCACCGCGCCCGGCCAATAGATTTTATTTTTTACAGCAGTTTTAAGTTCATAGCAAAACTGAGCCAAAAGCATGGAGCTCTCCCACCATGGAGCTCCTGTAGGTGCACAGCCTTCCCCAGTCCCACCATCCCAGCCATGTGTTACACATTGTTATTATCGTCATCACCTCTGCAGTTTCCATTTGGCTTTCCTCTGGTGCTGTGCATTCTGTAGGTTTGGACACACATATAATCATGCAGACCCACCACTCTAATATCATACAGACAGGTTTCTCCACCCCAAGATTCATCTGCATTCTGCATTTTCATCCCTCCCTCTCCCAGCCCCTGGCCACCAGGGATCTTTTGACTGTCTCCTGAATTTTGCCTTTTCCAAATGTCATAGAGCTGGACTCACACATTACGTGGTCTTTTCAACTTCTTTTTTAGTAATATACACTTTGGTTCTTCCATGTCTTTTGTGGTTTGATAGTTCACTTCTTTTTTTTTTTGAGACAGGGTCTTGCTCTGTCACCCAGGCTGGAATGCGGTGGCAAAATCAGTTACTGCAGCCTCAACCTCCTGGGCTCATGCAATCTTCTCACCTCAGCCTCCCAAATAGCTGGGACTACAGGTGCGCACCAGCATGCCCCGATAAGTTTTGTATTTTTGTGAGACAGGATCTCACCATGTTGCCCACACTGGTCTCGAACACTTGGGCTCAAGTGATCCACCTGCCTCTGCCTCCCAAAGTGCTGGGATTACAGACGGGAGCCACCTTGCCTGGCCAGCTCACTTAATTTTTAACACTGAATGATATTGCATTGTCTGGATGTACCATGCTTTATTTATCCTTTCATCTATGATGGAAGGACATCTTGGTTGCTCCCAGGTTTGGGCAATTATGAATAAAGCCACTACCAATATTCGTGTGCAGATTTCTGTAGACGTAAGTTTTCAACTCATTTTGGTAAACTCTGAGGAGCAGGATTGCTGGATGCTGTGGTCAGAGTGTGTTTAGTTTTGTAAGAAAGTGACAAATTGTCTCCCACAGTGGCCCTGCAGGAGGAGCCCCCAAACCCTTTCCCTACATCCCCATGACCTCTGCTCCTCCCGACCTGGAGGCTGTCTGTGCCTGGCTCGGGTCATCCACGCACCTGGGCTGCCTGCCACCCCCACCAGGTTAGGGCTCGGATCAGGGCCACCCCTCACCCCAGGGCTTCCTCATCCCAGCCCTGGGGCAGGGGCAGGTGTGGAGCTTTGGCTGCCAGGTGTCCTGCTGTGGATGGAGAGGGCGTTGAGCTCATTCCCTGAAGACTCAGGTGCCTGAGCCACCTGGCTGGTCCCCTCAGGCGCGAGGAAAGTAGTAGTTGAGGGACCCCACAGAGAAGCCTGTTAATGGGTCTGGTGGTCAGAGGCTCCCGGGAGGAGCCCCCGGGTCCTGGTTTTCTCTGAAAAGGCCACTCAAGGCCTCGGGGCTGAGCTGTGGCTGCCCTGGCCAGGAGGGGGCCAGAGGGGGCATTGCACCTGTCGTGAACACTGAGGGCTGGGCCAGCGGGCGTCTGGAGCATGAGGACCCTCCCACTGGACCCCTCCTAGCCCCAGTTTGGAGGACATAGCCGGTGACCGGCAGATACACTGCCTAAAGGAGGTTTTGACAGGGGAGCAGCAGAGCCCTTTGAGGGCCCCTGTGGAGAGCAGGCTCCTTGCTGGTTTGCGTGGCTTTTTCATACCGTAGTTGCATCGAGAATTTAATATGCTGCGACCTCGTTGCCCAGCAGGAGCGGTGCGGGACCAGCAAGCTGACGGGGAAGTGTTGGTGGGTGCATGGCAATGTCCTCTCTGAGAAGCTGTGGCCAGCGCGTCCTGGCCAACCAGGGCCTGGGCAGGGACTTGCCTCTCGGACCTCGGCCTCACCCTGGTCTGAGAGTGTAGGGCCCTCTCAAGGTCCTCGGTCACCTCAGCAGCCTGGGACGGAAACTTTGAATCGCTCCCTGGGCAGCTGGGTACAGGAGAGGCCACTCGAGGCAGAAGCTGGGATGGACAGCTGGATTCGGGGCCCAGAGGGAAACCGTGGCAAGACTTGGTGGGTGGATGGTACCAGAGGAACAGGACATGGCCATCATCGGGGAATCCAGCACTGCTGTATCTCCAGAAGGACCAGGCATTTCCCCAGCTGCAGAGACCACTGATGGAGCAGCACAGCCATTGTGGGACCAAGGCCATGACCCAGAGCCACTTGGGCCCTGAGCCTGACACCCAGATTGCCCACAAGCCAAAACTCCATCCCCACCATCCTGGGGTGCACAAGCTCTCGTTAGGAACAGGTGAAGAGGCGGAGCCCAGGAAACTGAACAAAACCCAAAGGGGGTGGGCGCGCAGGGACAAGGCTGCCAGATGGGCCTGGCCAAGCTCAGGGGCCCCCAGCTACCTGGGGGGTGCAGATGCCAGCTGAGCCCTGCAGCGGAATGGGGTGAGGCCACATCCCGCCCTTCAAGTGCCAGCTTCCGAGCAAGGGGCTTCATTTCTGTCTCGCCCACAACGCCTCGCACAGGTCCGGGGCCCAGAGAACATTCCAGAGATGCTTGTGGAGTGGAGCAGCTTTAATGTCTTATGACACATTCTTGCTTCTCTGTTGGCTTCTTACCTGTGTCCTCGGGATGGCTGCCAAGGCGCTACCAACCTGCTGCCTCCCTGGCCGAGGCTCGGAGCCTCCTGGGCTGGTGCCTTCCCGGACACAGGATCTCCAGCAAGTCCAGGAATCTGACCTGGGCTCACCAATCGTGCCCAGGGAAACCAGCCAGCCCCCAAAGCCTCCAAGACCCAAGTGGGCTTGGTTCTGTTGGCAGAGGACCCAGCTGGAGTCAAACCCTAACAAGAAAGAAAAGTGTGTTTAGATAATCAGGTGACTCACCAAATAGAACTTTCTTGAAAACTGTTTTAATAATCAAGACCAGGAAAGGATTATGGAATATTCTAGCAAAGTCCAAGTACTTGGATTTTAAAGTCAACATTTATCTTCTTGCTCTTATATTACAAAGTTCCACCCTCACCTCCAGTCTCAATATTTGCACAAAGCATTTCAGCAGCACATGCAATGGCGTTGATTGGCTTTTCCCTCTCGCTCCTCCGCACAGACACTAAAGAAGGAGAGGAGCAGTTTTGTTTCTTGCATGAATTGACTACTGAGGCTCGTCAGAGACATGCTGCCTGTGGGAGTGATGCACGGCCTCTGCTTCCATGGAGAAAAGCCACACGGTGGTGGCCGGGGTGGGACGCGTCTGTGGACGTGGAGGACAGATGTGTTCTGAGAAGCTGCCTGTTTCTTTCTTTCTTTTGTTTGTTTTTGAGATGGAGTTTCACTTTTGTTGCCCAGGCTGGAGTGCAATGGCGCGATCTTGGCTCACTCCAACCTCCACCTCCCGGGTTCAAGCGATTCTCCTGCCTCAGCCTCCCAAGTAGCTGAGATTACAGGCACCCGTCACCACGCCCAGCTAATTTTTGTATTTTTAGTAGAGACGGGATTTCACCATGTTGGCCAGAATGGTCTCTATCTCTTGACCTCGTGATCCGCCCTTGGTCTCCCAAAGTGCTGGGATTACAGACGTGAGCCACCACACCCGGCCAAGTGGCTTCCTTACAACAGACCCTGAGGGACCACAGTCACCTCCCCTCACTCCCAGCCCACCCTTCCTCCTCATTTGCTTTGTCCACCTACTCAGCTCCAAGGCCTCCGTCCTTCTGAAGGACCAAGAAGCCACTGCCGTGTGGAGGCACCTCCACGTGCCCTGGTCAGGTCTGTCGCCAGTGCTGTGGGAGGATCGGAACACCCTGGATCACCCTGGGCCATCATCCAAATTGTAATCACGGACTTACAGCCTGTCCTTCTAAAAATAACTTTTGGTATTGCTTGCTTATTTCAAAGTGAACAAATTCATTGTCAAACATTTAGAAAAGAGGCAAGCAAATAAGAGGAAAGAACATCACCAGCCACACGTTCTCCAGAGAGTGCAAAAAGCAAGGTCTCTGCATCTTACTCTCAAGCAGGAAGAACGTTTGCAGGAGAGGAAGGAGAGAGGGCCTAGGCGCTGTGGCCACCTGTGGCCAGCTGTGTCCTGAACCCTCCTGGGGTCTGTCTTGAACCCTCCTGGGGTGGGATTTCCATTATTATCTTCCCTGGGCTGGGCCAGAGCCTGGTTGGGGCCTGGGGCCCCATCCTGAGTCCAGAGTCTGTGACTCCTCCATAG